AGACGAAAGACTTTCGAAACATCGACTTTTTCACTTGTTTTTCATTTACAACAGACAGTTGCTGTCCATTCCAGTATACTCCTCAAAATTATTTTATTAATAGAATTAAACAAAGAAAGAAGTAGATGAAAATGAATTATACACTCTAAATAAATGGATTTATTTCTTCAATTGTACGATGAATGAAAATGCAAGATGATTATCTGAGTAAATTATACTGTTGCGTCAGCGAGGTCACGTGACTAGTTTCACGCCACGTTTTCTAGAAATATCCTGTTCCTTCGTGAATGTCCTAGCATTTACTAGATTGAGGGTAGCGTGGTATATATAAGATGATCACAACGTGACGGGACAACAGCATAATGAGTACTTGAATGTATGCAGACAAAATATTGTTGGCCACGTGAGATATAGCATTTGTTATAGCGCGACTGTTGAAATTAAGTGTATCGTAAAGTTGTATTCGGAAAGAATAAACCAGTTTTATTAAGAAAGGACTTGTGTCGCTAAAGTTTCGTCGGAACGAAGTTATGGAAAATCAACTAACGACTGGAGGCGTAACAAATTGGTGTCAGAAGTGGGATGAAAAAAAAATGGAAACGAGAGACGAAAAATCAAACTACAGCCTAGCATACTTGATGGCAGCAATACAAGAACAGCAAAGAAAACAAGAAGAACGAGAAGAAAAATTACAACAGTTGTTAGAGGAAAAAGAAAAGAAACAAGAAGAACGAGAAATTAAACAAGAAAAGAAACAAGAAGAACGAGAATTTAAACAAGAGGAGAGATTAAAGCAGTTGTTGGAGGAAAAAGAAAAGAAACAAGAAGAACGAGAAATTAAACAAGAGGAGAGATTACAGCAGTTTGGAGGAAAAAGAAAAGAAATGAGATGAACGAGAAAATAAACAAGAGGAGAGATTACAGCAGTTGTTGGAGGAAAAAGAAAAGAAACGAGATGAACGACTATAGCAGAGAGACTATAGCAGTGGCAAGAAAACCAGCATCAGTGGCAGCTGGAACAAGAAAGGAAACAGGAAGAAAGTCTACAACAGCTACAGGAAAGTCACAACAGTGGAAAGGAGAACAAAGAGACAGTACAACATCAGCATGAGGTACAAATGGAAAACATTAGTAAATTTAAAAGTGAATTGAATACGTTGAAGGACGATTTACTGTCTTTTCCACATGGAGGAAATATTAGCCATGGGCCTAATCAGCCCTAGACAATAGGAAGCCCTTTCCAGACCCTGCAACTAAACTCTAATGCAGACATATTCAGTCCTGCTAGAAGTTACAATCCTGACATGAGTGTCAGCAATAGTGGTGATCTAGTATGAAGGAAGCCACAGGAATTCGATGGGAAGGCACCATGGGAAACATCTACAGCACAATTAGAGTTCCTGGCAGAAATGAATGGATGGACAGAGGAGCAGAAAGCAGTGTACTTG